TAGTGAATAGGATGTCAACAATTGGATCCATAATATGAACACTTTATGCTCCGGCGCCCTCTTCGTCCTCTCCTTTGGTTAAGATTTGAGCGAATTTTTTAATATCGATGTTTCCCTTGCCATCGGTGGGCGCCTCCGCTAATATTGTGTCACACTTTGCATTCAATTCATTATTAGATAATGAGTACTTTTTTATCCACTATAACTTTTATTAATAATACAATACCTCTTGTGCACTGAACTTCTCGCCCCAAGTGACCAAAGCGTGTTTTAAGCTATAAATTGAGTGAATTATTAAATATAAATTTATAATCATATTCTGAGTGGACATACGTGTCTTCATTGCAGAGTCCATTTCCCTCATCGTATTGGGCGAACGCATTCAGAATCACTTCTTCCTCATCAGTTCCTGGGTTTCAGTCAAATTTCATTACATTTATATCAAGTAATAGATCACACTTTTTGTCATTTATTTATAGTATTTGTATACCTTGAGTTCTGTCACCAAAAATGGTCAAGAACATTGTGAAATTGATAGGTCCGGGTGCCTCCTTGATCATTGACTCAAGTTCTGCATCCGTACAAATTCGGCCTGGCGCATTGTTTCAATATAAAATCACATTTAATATCACAATTATAATCTATCCATTAGTTATTTTAATACCCAAAGCGTCAAAAGTAGCTCTGATATCATTTTTCGATATGAAACCATCCTTATCCTGATCAATCATTTGGAAAGCCTATAAGAATACAATAATCTTAGAAATGAAATTTATTGAAAAATAAAATTTCAAATTATATGAGAAATTAGTAATGGATTTAAAACGAGTGAAAGTGTGGACACAAATAATGCAAACCTCTTTAAACTCCTGGACCTGATGCTGAGTAAACCTGTGATCAATAAATAAGATTTCTATGATTTTTTCGCTGAATTCTCAGTTTTATGTTTGGTTTATGTTTTTATATATTCAACGAAATATAGCGAGTTTTAGCAATTTTTCATTACATGGCAAACACATTAGATCCGGTTCTTTGGGCCCGTTTTTTGGATCCAGTCTTGGCTGCCGGTGCGGCGGCGGGTGCGGGGGCTGCGGCTGCCGGTGCGGGCTCTGCAGCTGCGGGCGCCGCCTCCTTCTTGCTTCTCTTCTTCTTCTCTTTCACTTCATCTGCCTTTCAGTCAAAATACAAAACTCTATATATTTTTCGCTTAAATATTCTTTCTCTGAGTTATTTTAGTCTTAAAGTGCGAATAGTTGTCACATATTTGCCTATTTTTCTGTCATGAAATTCATTCAAATGTCTTTTCAACAAAATATCAAATATATTCAAAAGATTTCTAAACAAATCTCGACTCACAATCGCATACCATTATGGCTGGAGATTTTTATTTTAACGCAATTTATAAGCAATAACTAAATGAAATAAATTTCTCTCATTTCTGTCTCATATAGCGTTAAGTCAAGTAATGATAAGTTTTTGTGAACACATCTTATGCTTAATATAGCGCTTCCCCTAAAAGGAAGGACAGAATATTCAGTTTAAGAGAAACGAGTTAAGCATTCAATAAAACAGATGTGTTTCGCATCAAAACACCAGAATCTGGGTCTCGCTTGTGATTCCTATGTTTGCATTAAGTTTATCTTTAAGTTAACTTATAATACAATTAATACTTTTTTGGTGAAAAAAATCTATTTCTAATTAATATAAAAACTGAGAAAAATTGCTTTATTTCTATAGTAATAATACAATGGATCGATTGAAAGACGAAAGGCTTTTCGTTTATTTAATGGATTTTATTAAATGTTAAGAACAATACTATTTATAGAAACTAAGCTTTTGGTAAAATGTAATTTCTAGATCACTAATTCATACAGGGTTATAGTAAATGAATTGAGAAAATATTATCAATTAAAAATATGATCAAAAGTTATTAAGTTTATAAAAGACTTTGTTATGAAGCAAATGGTCAGTTGAGTGGACATAAGACTTACCATTTTATTGGTTGGATTGGGAACTGATGTAAAACAAGTAAATCAAACAAACGGATAGAAGATCACAAGAAGTGGCAGAAGACAATTAAATTGCAAAAATGTAAAACTAAACTAAACTATTTGAATATTTGAACGCATGTCTGCAGTTTACTTTATCTTAATGTCCAAACATAGCTTCCCATCCCTTCGCTCACAAATAACTTGTCTTTGAAGACCTTATAGGGATGGTGCGGATGAAGATAAATATAACTTACAATTATCTCTCTCTCTCTCTCTCTCTCTCCTTCTGGGTCTCACCACTTGAATGGCTATTTGCATGAATACTTGCTAATGTCTTCTCACCCCTTAGTATTTGCATAAATTCTTCTTCAGACACATCAACAGACTTTATATTAAAAAATCTCAACCACTGACCAATACATGCAAACAGTTTTTACAGCCATTTAAATAAGTTATAGTTTCTCTCTCCTATTCTCTCTCACAGCCTCTCTCTCTCTCTCTCTCTCTCTCTCCCTCTCCATATCTATTAACACACTAAACCTTACTCTGCCTAAGAATACGTTTAAAACATGTCTTATATGACACAAAATAGTTGCGGTTTAGATGTTATTTGGAAGCGTTAAGAGGTTTGGGATGTAGTGCACGACTCCAGACATTGTGTTTACTTTTGCCAATATTTTAAAGATCGACCCAATTGTTTGAAGGCGTGCACTACCCATAACCCTCCTAATGTTTGCAGACATCAACCGAAACACCTATCAATTGGTGTGAATATAAGAATTTTAATGAATGGAGTGTTTACTTATCATATTACACTAATCGGACGTATTTCTAGTATACAGTATTTTGGCATATTATGCATATGTTTACTTGAATATTTATTGTATAATTAATTAGATTAATTTCTAAAGTTTTTATGATTATTTTATTAATTTATTTAGCCTTGTATTAGTTCAAATAAATTATTTCATAATAAATAATATTTAAATTAAATTTATAATTTATTTATTTAAATTTTCAAAATCTGTATTTAAAACTTTGTATTTATTTTTATATTATATTCTAAATATTTCTACTGTTCCTCCTCAGTTTTGTGAAATTTAACATGGGTTAATTTTATTAAGATATTATGTGGCATATAGAAATTTGGAAATGGTGAAAATATGGACACAAGAGGCTAGTGATATTAATTAAAATTATCAGCATTAGGAAATATCTTATCGTAAACTATTGGAATAGAAATTGCAAATACTGTGTGGTGTTAATCATATCAACAAAGATATTTAAGAATAAAGTATTTTTTAATGTAATAAATTAATTATAAAAGAAATAAATCAATCTTATTAAGACACATGAGATAAAAATATTCTGTATACCGTATTAATAATTTTTATTCATATAAAAGCCGGGTAAGAATCGTTTTATCGTATTTATCTTTTACATTACAGTTCATTACTACATGCTTTATGTATGTCATGTGACATGTTCTAATGTATTGACAATACAGAATAAAGTGCATGCTACTTTGTTTATCATTTTAATTGGTTTGATTCAATTCAATTTTAATGTATTTAGTCCATTATTACGTAAAATAATATTATAAAGCATTTGGTGGCAGATAATACATAATATAACATTTAACACAACATATCCACAACTGGGAAGCCATCAAATAAATCGTTGATTGTCTCGAAAACATCTGTCAATTGTTTCAATAATAATATAATAATTAATTAATTGTTAATTTCCTTAAACACATGTATTTTCTATTCAACAAAACATGACTCCAACTATCATGGTATCATATGGTTTGTATGCCTTTCCTAACGAATTTAGTGTCATCTCTGGTTACGATTAAGTTTACAAAATAAAATTCTGGAGACAACTATACCCTGATTACACTTATGATATGATATACCGGTATACTTTGTATAAAAATTATATAAACATAAACTAA